TTGCATGACTGGGCTAAAATGGAGGATAAAATATGACGCGATTTGATGCTTCAGGCACACCTGAGGACAGAACCGCTGCTGACAAAGTGAAAGGAGCAGCATGATTTGTCTCGCCTATTGATCTGCTTCCCCTCTGCAGGTGTCATCTCTGCAGCAGAGTTATGGAACAAACAGAGCTGTCTGACGGGATCCTCCTCAGCCATCCGTCTGCCGCCGCCACGCCGAAATGAATCTGTCTGGGCGTCTGTCAAGTCGTACATCTCCCCAAAAGGTGCACCGACACATGCTCGAGCGGTGAGATCTGTTTCTTGTTCCTCATTGTCAGAAAATAGATTGATCGTGGTTCTGTGTCTCGTTTTCTGCCTGCTGATGTTAGAAGCGAAAATGAGGTCAGCTAATAGGATACTAACTTGGATATAAAAGTGATGACTATCAAGATAAAACATGTTGACCCGAAAGGATTTGCTTTGGGAACAGGCCCAGATCTCCTGACATCAAAATGAGATGGTTTTAAATGTGCACAAAGTTTTTAGGCTGTTATATATTTGGAGCAGACTATTTGTAAGGTTTGATTCATTGTTGACCTTTTGTTTGACATAATGAAAGGTCATCTTTGACCAGATGCTGGGTGTTAGGGTTGAGGTGTTTCAGGTGTTGGTCCCAGTTCTGTTCAGTTTTTGGGGCTTGGTGATTGTCTCTGGGTTCTATGGAACTTGGTGATGCAGGTGCCATTGGCCCCAGGGTGGCTGTGCCAGGACCTTCTCCCCTTTGTGGGGTAGCCTGAGTTACCTATCTTCCCCACAGGGAGGAGAGCATTTTACCCCCCTACAGTCCTCCTTTCCCCAGGCTTCACTCGCTCCGTCACACCACCACTCTTATAGGAGTTTGGGGGTGCAGGTATGTCGGGGTTGGAGGTTTGAGGAGGCTTCTGGAGAACCTCAATCCTTTAAAAAAAATTAATCAGCTACCAAATATTCGGGTAGAATTATACCAGGAGCAAACGACTTTAAAAGGAGCTTTTAACTAAATACCAGCAAAGGAGTTGTGCACACAGATATTCAAAATCATTGTATGTGAAGTTATTTCACCTTGAGAGAAAAACAAATTAGTTCAAACAAATGGATAAAAGCCTCTAATTATCATCATGCCCGTGATAAGAGTGCATGTAAACGTCTGACTGGAACTAGAGACTTAATCCTGCTCCTCACAGGTTAAATGATCTGCCTGAGTCGACATCGATCCCCAAGCACAATTAAGGAGACTCAATGGCTTTGGTTTGTTCTATTAACGAGTCCTGTCTACAGCTTGCACCGGGGACAGGAGACCTAGTTTGTCCTGTCGACCTCCCACAGCTGCCGCTGACGCACTCCGGCATCAAGCCGAGTCTGAGGATTTGACGTGTGCAAACAAGGCCGACTAGATAAAGAGGCGCGTTTTTGTAGGGGGGGGAGAAAAGCAGGTGCATCGAGCTGCAGCGAGAAGAACACTGTCTGTCTTCCTGACAAAAGAGACAGAAGCAAATACATTTGGATCCATCTTGGAGTTGCTGTTTGCAGTGGCAGCCTGTCGGAGCAGCAGCCATGGAGTCGGTCTCTCAGACGGTGGAGGCGACGGACGCCCAGAGGCCACAAGCGTCCACTCACTGGAGGTTCGTGCCGAAGCGGGGAGCCTCGTCTCATTTTGTGGGGAGCACCATCATGATTTTATCCACTTACGCCGTCGCCACCATGACCATGAATTTGGGGAAAAACGTCCAGGACAGAAGAATGAGACCAAACGGCAGCTAGAGACTAAAGGACCTGGACACTGCCTTTACTGCCGAAATGGTTCACCCCACTTCCACCGACTCAACCCATCAAACTTCACCTCCACACTGCCAAGAAGAGGAGACAGTTTCAGTTGACTTTACACTCCACAATGGAAGTTCATGGATGGGCAGTAAAATGGAAACAGTTCCGCCATAAGGCCATGCGGTGGCGATGTTGGACTTCTTCCTGTCTCAATCTGCTGCCGCCAGGTCAGGCCGCTGCCCCCAAGGAGGCTGTACCTACATTGGTTCAGCTTCTGCTTTGGCAAGATGAACATCATCCAGCAAAAAAACCCATGAGAAGATGCAACAAGTCCTATGACCAAAATAACCATCCAAACTAATTACCCATCTGTTTTACATTGCCTTGAAAATTTTTTTGGGTGAATGTGTTTGTCTGATTTTCCTTGATGTAGATAAAGAATGATGTGCAGATAATAATAAAGAAAACATTAACCGTGGAATGAAGCACTGCGTTTGATTTATAGTGACTTGCTTTGCAAGAAATCTGACACAGGTCACAGAAGTTAGGTTTTTGCCAGAAAACAGACTCTCGACACATATATGCAGCAGCTTTCGTTGCTATTTCTCTCTGAGTGTGATGTAATAAATTTCAAAAACATATGACACACACTTTAGTCATGAATTCCTTATATTCTGACAAATCGCAAATGTGACGTTTGTCCTGACTGAAGCTGCTTGTGGCCTGAGATCGCTAGCGGTTCAGGTCTTTCAAGGCATATGAAGCTGCTCCCCGACGGAGAGTAAAGCTCAGCGTAATTTTCCAAATGAGCGGGAAGCTTTTAAACAGCTTAAGGAGCATCCGGTGTTAAGCATGTGTAGCGTCAAGGAAGCATGTTCTCAAGCCTCCTCGACCTTCGGATGTTATGTTCAACGCTTGGCACCGTGGCTAATCCGAAAATCCCAGGAGATAAACTAAATGCATAATGGGTGAGATTTTGGTAAAGATGTCCCACCCAAACTGAGGTGTGTTGAGCAGCGCCACATCTGACCAGTCCTAAATATACAGTCACCTCATGGGAGCAGCATTACATAGAGAGTTCAACACAGCAAAGCAGACCAACAGTTAACTAACAGGGTAACTCCTCTACGGCGATAAGAATGGTCATTTTACAATTTGTGACAGGAGTACAAACATGTGACCAAAACAGTGACTGTGTAACTTTCTTCACCCTTATCCTCCATCAAAGAATGTCAGGTCCCTTCTAACTATACAGAGATTACAGTTTTACTGCTCAGACATTTGAAATGCTTTGAATTCTGACATTTGCGCGACTTTCTACTTGGTTAAAAGTCTTGACAGTTTCAACAAACAAACATGGTTTGGGGGCCACTATTCTCCTAAGGATACAGTCGGACTTCAGTACAGTAAGGGGCTCATTAATGTGGTGATGTATTGTAGAAATTAGTGATTAGAACCTTCTTCTTTCTTCCAGAGGACAACAGCTGGATTGTCATCAGGTCTTCCAATACCCCAATTACAGGAAGCATCCAAGGAGGGGCTTGAGAAGAGGATACCCCAAGATCAAGGAACATCCCGGTCAGTCTCCAGATCTCAATCCTACAGAAATCAGCGTAGAAAGGTGAACTTAAGTGGCAGCTAAGAAACCTAAAGAGTTTAGAAGTGTTTGGTACACAGGAGTGGGACTCTTGAGAAGTGTGTAAATCCGGTGACACCCAACGAGAAAAGCCTCACTTGCACTCGCCAACTGAAGTTTTTCCAAGAAGAATCAACTAAATGTTTCCAGGAGGATCAAATATGAATGCCAAACGTTCAGTCATTGACTCACTACAACAAAAAACCCAAAAAACAAAACAAGAATCAAAGTCAAAGAAAGAATTCCTTCTTTCTTTGACTTTGGTTTCCACTAAAGAGTTTGCCATTTTGGAGAAATGGGTCAGTGGATCAAATCAAAGAAAATACCAAACAGGGGAATCAGTCACTCAAAAAGGACGAGAGAGGCCACATGGCAACTGAGGGCCGATGCAGGGTCTAAAGACAGGCAGAGCCCCAATCAGGCTAAATGAGAGAGAGGGTACACACAGAGATCTCTGTTGGCCTGCTTTGTCCTCTTTCTTTCTCTCTTCCTCTTCCTCTCACTTCTCTGAATAGCTCCCGCACAAAGATACCGTTATTTTGTCTCTAATTACCAGATGAAGAGCTGTTTGTCTGTATGCCTCTCGCTCCACCGCTCTCAGCCCCAGAAATAAAGTGCTCAGTGGTGATGACCCTGGACAGTTACAAAACAGTCTGGCGGCTCACAGGGGCCATGTGAGCCCGTCCTGTCTCCATGAGCCTCATAGAAAGTATCTGGTTATGCTAAGGGAGATATGCATGCATATGTTAGTGTTTTTTTTTCCGATACAACACTTCTTGCTTTGTGTTGCAAGAAACGAAAAACAGAACCATCAGTTGGTCTTTTCATCAGCTTTCTTCCCTTGCACCTCTCCTATAAAAAAATTCTATAAACAGGGTTATGGGAGCAGAATGTAAAGCGCTGAACCTTCTTCGTTGTGCTGTTAAAAAAGTTTAAGGAGCGCGAGGCGTCGTATCTGGGCCACAAGATAGTCCCCATCTGCCATTAGGGCCAAAAGCCTTAGGAGCGTTCTGGAGCCAGAGAGAGAGAGATGGACCCAGACAGGGATTAGGCTGACACAACAGGTCCAAGAGGATGTGAGATTACACGAGAGGAGCAACAACAACAACAACAAACACGGGGTAAACCTGCTCACATGTTTACGTAACAGTTCAGCTCCTCAGCATATCTGCAAAACAACATATTAATGTCCTGTAAGAACTTTATCTGCTTTTTTGGGGGTGGGGAAGTGCACGGAAAAATGACCTTTGAGTCGGGTGAAGGGGACTGTTTTTGTGTTTGTTTTTTTTGCAAAGTGCAGCAGATTCTCGAGCTTTGTCCCGCAGAGAGCTTCGTTCTCCGCCCTCAGCATATCATCCAGTATTAAATCTCATCCGCGACCTCCTCTGACCCTGTCATTTGGGGGGGGGGGGGTTGTCCTGACCTCAGAGCGCGTCGGCAATGGACAGGTGTGACTCAGCACCTGTTTGTCACCCTCTGGGTCTGAAGGGCAAAGCATCAGATTTTTAATCAAATCTTCTGGGTGTGTGTGTGTTTTTTTTTCCAGCAGTGCTTGGACCGGTGGAAGGAAAGCTGTCAACAAGGAGGATTTGGAAAAACATCCTATTGGGAGATTAACAAGGACAGAGCCCCGGTCCTTCTCTGTGCATGTGTGAGTGCTTTTGCGTGCAGGAGAGAAAGAAAAAAGGAAAGAAAGAGAGAGAGAGAGGGAGGGACAGACAGACAGGACATCCCAGCGTGTGACAGATGGAGGAGGGAGGTGGGGGTGAGGAGCCTGGTAGGAGGCTGGCATGTTTTCCCATCTAAACCGGTGACAAAGTGGCGAGCAGCGTCTCCCCGGAGCAGAGGAGATCACAGCCGCCGCACGGAGACGGACGTGGAGCGGGAGGAGAGCCGAGCGCCGCGCAGCCTGCAGCCGCCAGAGCCACAGCATCGGGGCGGGGATCAGAACCGGGCCACGTCGGAGGGAGCGACGTTTTCTTCTTCTTTTTTTTCAACCCCCTCCCTTTTTAAACCCGGTGAACGGGTGAGTATAGAAGCGCGGGATCGGTCATCTCCACGCGATTCGGTTGGTTTTCGGTGAGGAGTGACGCCGAAGGGCGGCACGGACAATCGACTAAAAATGCATTCGGAAAAAAAAGATAACGGGCATTTCTCTTAAAGGAGAGAAATGCCCGTTTAAAGGTCATCGGGTCACAAACTCGCAAATTAAAAGCACTTTTAAGTTGGAGCTTTTTTTTTCTTTTTTTCTGTTTTTTAGAAATCGCCTTAACTTGAAAATCTCCCCTTTTTGGAGACTCACTTCTTAGGCTGCAGTTCAGTTTCTGGCAAATCCCATCATTCTTCGGATCAGCATCACTACACCCTAAAAACGAATTTTGCAACATTGGACATTTTTTGCTATTGAAAACATTTAATTATGCTGTTCAGTAATGCCCAACCTATAACATTTTAGGTGTTTCAGCTGTTTTCCAGGCAGAAATACTGATTCAGACATGCTATAGGTGCAACGACAAGAGTTTATTTCTGTCAAACAGATTTGTTTAAGTCGCTGCTATTTAGGTTAGTCTGCACACCGGTCAGCACCTGGTCAGATTAAACCACTGTGCCCCAGTGCCACCTAATCAGGTCCACCACGTCTGGGTCATCTGCTTGTCCCTGCCTATGGAAGTCCAGACGTGCCACAATTCAATAAAGATGGCAGTTGTTAAATTAAAACTGTAAGAGGTATGATTAATGTCTACAATTAGTTAAACAGGTTGGTAATAAAATTTGGTACGAAGGGCACATGTTGTCATTATTGCAGTAGGTACAGGCTGCAGGAACGAATTTTCTTCAATTTAATTCTTAAGTATCGACGTTAGTCTGCAGGGCGATTTCTCTCTGCATAAATCAGTTCTGTTGATAAGAAGTTGAGTCGCCGTGCAGATTAATGAACCGGTGTAACAACTGAAATTATTTTACAGTTTTCATGTTACTTTTAATCACAAAATAAATGTTGAAACTCCTGAAAGAGAATTGGTCAAAAATATGTCATCAATTTAAACGAATCCCATATCTGCATGACATAGCAATTCAAACTGATTTATTCCTTGTTTGATCTTGTGAATAAATATATAATTTTCATTTTTTTTTTTTTGTTTAGTTTTTTTTAAGAAGAAAAAACTGTTTTGAATAATCTCTACTCAGCTTTTCACTTTCTGTTCCAGCTTATATATCCTGAGGTTGCCTTGACTCCAAAGCAGCATGAAAATGTTGATATTTTTTTGTTTTCATGAACAAAATGCAGAAAGAAAACAAAAAAATCAAAAAGTGTGTTCAATAAAAACTGTGCACAACTTGTGCTCCATCACTGAAATGCGCCCTGGGTTGCAAACCAAAAATGTAAAAAAAATTCTAAAGTGATCTTCATTGACTTCTGTGTGCTTCTCTGTTTTAGGCAGCGATCTTGACTCTGTGCCCCTGCTGTGATTTGACGGTAGGGCGCGTCGTCTGCCGCACTTCCTTCCTACTCCTCCTCCGGATCGGCAGAGATGGGCGTGACTTCTCCCCCGCTGCTGCTGATATGCGTATACCTGACGGCGGTCGGCCGGGCGCGCTCCGAGGGCGTCTGCCTCCAGGATGGCAAGCACAAGGCCGCGCCCAGCGCGGAGCCACGCCTGTCCGAGTGCGGGCTTTACCGCGACAGTGAGTGCACGCCCTCCGTAAGGTCCACAATCGCTTCTGTGAGCAGGCAGAGGTGACGACAGTGGTTTGGTGTTTATTTTCATCCTTGCTGCTGCAGACAGCTGCTGCACTGAGGGAGACATCCAGGATATTGCCTATGTTCCATCTGACAGCAATAAGAACGAACCCTGGGACAAATGTGGCCCTCTGAGCTCAGAGTAAGTCCCATCTGTTCTTGCTTTCTAATAACGTCCCGTTTTAATTGTTCCTCCTTCTCGTATTGGAATCGTGCGTCACAGACGCAGGTTGTTTCCAGGTGGAGATACAAACGGTAAATTGTAATTCCGACTAAACGGACCGCAGTCTTAGATTACAGTAAACCAAAGTTTTAACCGAACAAAACCACATGGATCTAGTCACACATTAGACTGTTTAGCTCAGCTTCACTGCATATCACTCTATTTTTAGCACCGCTACGCTGATTCTGTTCAACTAATCGACTTATTAAAGAGAAATTATTATTATGATTAGCAATTATAAGACTACATATTGCAAAAACTGATGGAAATTAGCCTCTTGAGGCCGCTCCTTCACATCTTGTGATGCAGTTTGCTTTAAACTGAATTGTTGCGGAAATTTGCTGCACGAAATAGAGTTGATTCACAAAAGTATTCAAAGCCCGTGACCATTTCTACATCAGGTCAGATGACAACATACCAACTTCAACTTTGTGCAGGTGCATTTTCGTCGGCCATTGTAATTTGACATTTCGAAAAAAAAATTAGCTTAATGTAAATGGAGCAATTTTTAAAAATTGATTAAAAAGCTAATTGGATGTGGTGGGTTTTTTGTTTTTGTTTTTTGGCCATATTAAAATGTGTTTATTTCACAACATTTTTCACACATTAGTCATGAAAACGCAGCCAGTGGCAGGTCAAGACAAAGTCCTGCACATCGATCCCAGTTGAAATTCCTGATTGTGGGAAAATCTTCGAGATGACGAACACTTTTGAAAGTCTTTTGTTTATTAGGAATATCATTATTTTTCACTCCTGCACAGTACGAGTCACATGCTCACATTTACCCTCGCTGTTGTTCCCTTCCCAGTGACATTGCGGGTCAGTAACCCTTTGTGGCCTTTCGTCACGCTGGTAGAAAACTGTTTCCTTCTGTCTCTGCAGGTGCGAGGGCTATCTGAAGCGCGTGTCGTGCTTTTACCGCTGCTCCCCTGACGCCTCCCGCTGGCCTCATCCTCACCGCCGCTCGTACATCCAGGCGGTGCCGCTCTGCCACAGCTTCTGCCGTGACTGGTGAGGCCGCCTGAACACGACGCGGTAGCTGCTCCTGCTGAGCATGTCAGACTCCGGGGGAGAGAGGATACAGTTTTGTAAAACAACCCCCAAGACAAAGTGCCCTATAAATAAAACTGCTTTTTTTTTCTCAAAATTTCTGGGTTCAGAGGACATGAACAAATCTGAAGGTTCGTGGAATAATAAAAAAAAAAACCCTGAGATAATCCTCTAAATGTCGGAAAACAACTAATGCAAACACAGAAAGATGATTTGAAGAGGCATTTGAGAGTTTGTAAAGATAGAATACATTTCCGAACTTCCCCGCTGAATTTAAAAGTGTAATCTGCTTTCATGTTTTGGGAATTCAGTCCGACAGACGGCATCTGAACAAACAGTCTGAGATTATGGAAAATACGGTCGCTTCTGCTGCCAGGACCGAGATGAGAGGGAACAATACCCTGTTTGTGCAGATTATTTGAAGGGACAAATCTACAGTCCGACGGCGGATCGAGCAACAAAATTGTGCACCAAATCCATTCTCTGCATTCTTAAAAACTGTGATGCTAAAGACAAAGCAATTTGCTAATTTGGTACTGTGTCACATAGAGAGCCATCAAGGTTTTGGTTGGTTAATTAAACAAGGTTAGATAAGGGGTAATGGCTTGGCATTTAAACCCCTAAAACAGGTTAAAGTGGCTCATGAAATACATTAAGGCTAATATCAAGTAGGACCGAAAACATTTTTTACTTCTAAATACAAAGAATTTGGGTTTAAATGAATCATTTTGATTTTTGGCTTAATTCTGTATTATTAATTACCAGATGACAAATATAAACACCCTTATAATTTGTTAAAAGTGTCTGATTCACCAGTAATTGGCTCTAAATAGCAAACTCTATGTTCAGTTTAAAACACACGGTAAACATAGCTTGTATGTGTTGACTTTTACTAATTTTGTTAGAATCTGAAAGTGGAGCCAAGCTAGCAATAGCTTGCGGTATTAGCTGGTCAAATTTTTCCAACTGGCACACAAGTTAGCTTATATTTTGCTAACTAGCAGTGTTTAAGCTAGGCACTCCCGACCTCTAATGTAGATAGTAGTGGTGAAATTAATATAAAGAAAAAAACTTGGATGTCACAAATATGTGTTTCTGTAGAGCGAGGGTCCCCAAAGTGGGCCCTCGAGGGCCGGCACCCTGCATGTTGTAGTTCTCTCCCTGATTTAACGGGCCTGGATCAAATGATGGCCCGTTAGAGGCCTAAGAAGAACAATGACATTCTGAAAAGGTTGTCACTCCCACAAAGGAGAGAAGTAAAACGTGCAGGATGCCGGCCCCCGAGGACCCACTTTGGGGACCCCTGCTGTAAAGAAACAAATGATCATGACATGTGCTGAAATTGACCAACAGAAGCCTGATGGCACAAAAAGTAGAACTGGCTAATCTGGTTCTGAGGGAAATGAACCAAACTGCTTTACACTTTTAAACAGTAAAACGTTTAAAGACAGTTTTTAACCGCATCAACATTCCTATATGGGAAATACCAGCTGAGTTATGCCTCGACTTAAGATAAAAGTCGTCTATTAACATGTTTCTCCTGACTGGGAATAATATTAAAGTTTTGTGGATGATGGCCATTAAAAGAAAAAAGAAAATATGTTGTTGTTATACTGCCACAGAAAAAGGATTCTCATCTACCAGTGTTTCTTTACATATTTCCATAAGTGCTACAAAAACAAAACACCATGCCAAATTGTGCACTTAAGGGAAGCCGTGAGCTACATCTTGAGCCCTGATGCTAACTCGTCTCATGTAAAAATATTAAAAAATAGACCTTTTAGTTTTAAAAACGGGGCTGTTTTATAAATAATGAGCAGATAGATTTTTGCCGATTCTCATGTGTCTTTTGTGCGTCTCCAGGTTCGATGCCTGCAGGACGGACATGACGTGTGCTCGCAACTGGGCCAGAGACCCCCGGGGCCAGAACTGCACCGGGACCTGCGTTCAGTATCAGCAGGTAAACACAATCACAGTTGTCATCATTTCTGTTTTCTTCATTCTTATTTTCCACAAAAACAAAGACTAATATTTATTTAATTAATATTCTTAAAAGATATTTGCTCTGTTACCTGTTCCTATTATTATTAGGCTATGTGTTTGCCTTGCATGGAGCTCCATAGATCTTTCCGTCTCCACAGCATAATGATGCCACCACCGAGCTTCACAGTATGAATAGCATGTTCATCCTCATGCACTATAGAAAACACAAAATTTTACCCAGTATTTTTTTTTTACTAGTTTCTAGTGCAAATATCTTTCACTTATGACATGGAAAAAATGTATTGCTATAAGTGAAAAAAATCTGCCATTGGAAATGGTACCCTTTTGTAGTTTTTTGGGTGCAAATCTGGTGTAAAAAAACATAAAAATACAACAAATATATACACATTTCAATAAAAAAATAAATTAAACCACCAAAATATGCACTTTTTTAGCACTATCAAAGTTTCATACAATATATTTAAAACAAACACCTATATTTAGCTGGAAATATATTTGTAAGTTAGTTTAGGTCTATAAGTCTTATTAAATATTTACATTGGAAAATAGACAAGAAACAAATACTTGGTAAGATTTAGTGTGTTTGTGGTGGTAAAGCTCTGTTTTGCTTTATCCTGACCAGAAAGCAAATGGAAGCAGCGGCTTTCTTCTGGCACAAAATGTTAAGCTTGTGGTTCAGAGAAATCAAAAAAGAAAAACAAAAAGAAAAAAGCACTGTAAAATAAAAAAAAAAAAAATCGAGTCTTTCCAGCTTTTATTTATTTATTTATTTATTATTTTATTTTTGCACCAACGTTTGTCTCGCTGAAAGTTTATGGAGAACAATTTATTTATTCTCCTTGAACTTTTGGCACAGGGTGGACGGTGTGAGAGCCGGGCTGGCTTTGGAGCGTGAAAGAGCCTGGCCCCGCTCCGCTGGGCAGGGGCCAGCTGGGTGATTGAAAAACAAGCGGCGGGCCGGTAGAGGCCTGCGGCAAACTGAACTCTCACACGTCACCGCAGCCCAGCGACGACCTGTCTGTCTCTCCGTCTCCCCTCCCTACCGCCTCCATCCTCTTCCACACACCCACAGACCGCAGATCTAATAAGGCAGCTCGCTGGTTATTAGATGATAAGCAGAAATTGCAGAGTGTATTAAGAGGGAGAATGTGTGGATGTGAGGATCTCTGTGTGTTTGTGTGTGTGTTTCCTGTGGGCGAACCGCCTGCATAATTCCGGGGCTTTGTGCGCTCCGCCTTGGCCCGTCTTCATGTAGGGCAACGCTTAACGCCGCAATTAGGCTGCAGGAAACTTAAGCCGCTCTGAAACAGACGAACGCAATTAGAAAAATGTGAGAGCGAATTTGACAGATCCACTATTTTTTTTGTTCAGCATCTTATTTTGGGAGGTAACGGTAAAAACGAGAGTGTCGGTGAATGCATGACTGAACGCCAGGTGTGCGTAGGTAAAAAGCGGCTTGTGAGAGCTCGGACTGTGGAAGGTGTCAGTTTGTGTGTTAATGCACCTTCAGCAGAAAAATCAAATCAGCTCCGGCGCTCTCGGTCTCGCTCCTGTTTTTGTAGTTTTTGGTTACATCATTCGCCCGCCAAGGTCTTCGCTTAGATTGAGTGCTTCTGGTTATGCAAGAGAGAGGCATATTTCTGTTGAATACAAAACAATTTATTCATTCTCCTTGAATTTTTTGCACAAATGCAGCTCTACTGAGCCACCTGCCTGAACCCACAGGTTAGGCAGGGAGGGAAATAACCTCAGAAAGAAACAGAGACAAATGAAACTCAGGTGAGGAGAATCTATGGATGGATCAACTGTTGGCTTTGTGCTTCATTAATCTGAGCTTCATGGAGAAGTGGCAAGAAGAATTATTTAGTTTGAACTTGGAAAGGAAGTAACCAGGAACACTTTCTGATGGCAAAATACCAAGTTAGAATGTGTCGCCAACGGCAATATCAAAATTCAATATGGCCGCCGTCGGGAACGTATGGATGGCTGCAACAGTGAATCATTTTGCTTGCGCCTAAATTAGTCGCACTTGCGTGGTGGAAATCATGTCAGGGTTCAAGTCACTGCAGTTTTGAAACACATACAACACAGAAATACACCATTATTAGCTCATGTTGCTAACATGTCACTAACAGCTAGCTTAGCACTGCAGAGTGTCATAATTCATTTTATTGGTTGTTTTGTTTATTTATTTTGGATATTTAAAATGTGTCCCAGTTCCCAGTGTTAAATGTTCATTACAATTGAAAGTTTAATCATCTTTGTTGGATACTTAAGCTGTGCACTTTGTTACTTGTGTTTACCGCAATGACGTCTGCGACAATTTATCATAAAAGCTAAGTTTGTTGCTGTGACAGGCCTGTGTGCCACATTAACAGGTTTTGTTAGATCTGTGCTAAATCTCTCATATCTCAGGTACTGTACATATAAAAAGTGATTTTCCAAATATATATATATATATATATATATATATATATATATATATATATATATATATATATATATATATATATATATATATATATATAATTTTAACTCAAGAAAGTCTAAGGCTTCCACGGTTCCTGTCTCAGCGTAGTGTTTGTGGTTTCAGGATGGAAAGGCTAGAATTAAGCAAGATAAGGAAGGGAAGGACAGCGCATGGCGCCGCAGGAAAAATCTCTATCTGGCTTATTCAATCCCAGCATGTCGTCTAGAGCTTCTTGGGCTTGTACCGAATTAAGTTTGGCAGCAAATCATGGCCGCCCGGGGGAGGACTGAAATGTGTGTGTGTGTGTGTGTGTGTGCTAGTGTCTATGCTCCTGTGGGTATTATTGGGTCGATGTGATAAGACCAAAGCGTCACACAGAGAGCATATGTAGTTAAGAGACACACCCATCGTCCTTTTTGTCCTTCAAACTCAGTAAACACATCACTTCTTTTTCTTTTTTCTTTTTTTCAATCAAATCTTTGCGAGGAAATGCTATAAAATAACTGGAAGAAGCAGGAAATGCTTATCTGGGGGATGACTTAGCATCCTAATGACTGGTTGTAGAGAAGGCAAGTTCATTTCTACAGCTCCATTCGTACACAAGGTGTTCTGAAGGAAACAGGAAGTGACCAGAGAGGGAGAAGGAAGTGAAGGTTAGTGCTCTCTGTTGTGAGCTGCTAGCCTCGCCACTGGCTTCTACACGCAATCTAGCTCGACTCTTGTTTCTTGGTTCTGGATAATTTTTATATATTCGAAAAAAACCTCAAACAAACATAGATTGTGATTTTGCAAACATGGCTTCATTAAATGCTTGTCAATTGGAGTTTTAATCGTTCTGGACCGGCTCAGAGCTGTTAATCTGCTCTCCGGGGGCCCCTGAGATGCTGCTATGCCAAACCTGAAGGATTTTTCTTCTTTTTTTTTTTTGTTTCTTTTTAAGCGCCGTATTCAGATTGGCTCTGAAGGTCGATGCTGCAGACAAGGAGAGGAAAGCAGCAGGGGCCAAGTAAAGCCACCTGAGAGAGAAAACACCTGGCAGAGGCAAAGTGTTCTCAAGGCCAGAGCCGCCGCGGAAAGGGCAAAATCAATTATTTCGCTGGATGTCGTATGCGGCGGGGTAAAGCTCAGGCATGCCCGAGGGGCTGGCGGGAGGACGGGCGGACTGGCAGGGAGGAGCCAAGCAAACAGGCGTCCGTTTATTCATGGGGCCAAGAAGATAAAAAAAAAAGAAAGAAAGAAAGTTGCACGACAACAGGAAACAATTGCAGTCGTTCTGAATATTTTTATTCCTACAGCTCACGGTGGCGCCGGCGGTGCTGCTGCTCAAATCCAACCCGTCGCTCTTGTTTCAGGCAGGAGTGTCGGCTCAGATCGTCTGATCCCTCTCCGACAAGGACGAGCGGTCACGATAATTCGTCGTTCGAGGTTTTGTTAAAAATACAAAATGGCTGCTGTTAAAAAAGTTGAAAACCATCCATCTCCCCCGCTCCACTTCACGTTTAGCGGGGCAGGATCTCCTAATGTTGTTTTTATTTGGCTTTATATCGTGTTAGAAAGTTATTACTGGTTTTCTTTCAGGCACGTTTGAGAAATCCCTTCATCTCCATGGCAACCATTCAGTGGGTAACAAGTTTGTTTAAGGGTTAAAGCAGGAGCCATGTTGCGACGACTTCCTGAAGGCGGAGTTTCAGAAAGAGCAGGAGCTTCTTAAAGTGACAGAGACCCAATTTCTAAATTTTGAAGCAAACTTGCGTAAAGATTAATTGATTTGAAAAAAATAAATAACTTGCTGACTAATGTAGGACCCAGTGGCTAAGAAGATGCTAAGTTAGTGGTCGCTCTGTCATTTATTTAATAAGTGTAACAAGGTTTGTTTGAATTCATTATTGATAAAAAAGAAAACAAATGAAACATTCTGACTTATTGTGGCACAAATTCTCGATTGAAATTAAGAATAAATTCAACTGAAAGAAATCACATTTTAGTTCAGACGCTGACTTAGATCGATCCAAAGCCTTCGCTTTGTGGACTCAGGTAAAGTCAAGTTTATTTGTAAAGCGCATTGCTGCGACAAGCTAGTGAAGAAGGGCTTCAAATGATAAAACATATACGTTAGGAATATATGCACATTTTCTCCTCATTGAACCCCTTACAAAACCTACGCAACAAAAATAAAATGAGACAGGAAACAATAAGAAAAAAAACCCTAAACAAACATTTTAATTCTTTAAGGAACTTAAACGTCTTGATTTTTGCTGTTTGCGTAGAACTTGACCTCAAAAGTAAGGCGGAGGCAGCAGTTTGATAGAAGAAACACTGCCACCTGCAGGTCGGAGTGAACAGTCTCCATTTTTTGCAAAAAAATAAAAAAATAAAAAAATAAAAATTGTAATAAACAGACAGCTAATAAGTAAAGTTGAACGAATGCTGGCCATTGTTTATTTTATTTTATTTTTAATTTCTGAAATTGTGGATTCCTGGAACACTGGAGCGACTGACTGATGTAATTTGTGGTCTGGAGTCTGCAGGGAAATCAAAAAATATATATATGTTGGACCGACACATGCTTCAAACGTTGATTTGGGTTCAACAAATTAAGCAGCAATAAGAAAAGAAACAGGTACGGGCAAATTCACAATTGACACATTTAAGTTTACTTGAGTTTCAAGCAAAACTGTGATCATTTTGAATTTGTTTCATTTAAAAACGTTGAATTAGAAAAAAAACAGCTAACCTGGTGGCTGAAGGGAGTAAAGTTCTTCTGATTGATGGATCAAAAGCATTTATGTTTGCCAGTCTCACTGAGGATGGAAACGCCTCTCTGCAGATGTATCAGCACGGCAGGGATCTCTGCGAGAGCCTGTGGGGCGACGCCTTCATGACGGTGGAGGACGACCAGCAGGAGGCGGGAGAGAACGGGGCGGAGGGCCGACCCTGCGGCTGCCTCACCCTCAGCCCCTCGGACAAGGACGTGATCGCGGCGCTGCGGGCCCAGCAGGACGACCCGGAGGAGCTGGACACCACCAAGGCCGGCCTGCCGCAGTACCGGGCTCCCTGCCAGGCCAAGATGCCGGCGCCGGCCAAGAGCGGCCGGAGGGCGAACTCCGTCCTGCGGAAACGCTCGGTGGAGATCGACGACGTGGAGGGGAGCGGGAGCGGTCTGTAGGTCCTGTTCGGTAAAGCCGTGTCACTTAGTGTCCGATGCGTAATGCTAAATAAAAGGCCTAACTTTGTCCCTCTAAAATAAAAAAACAACAACAAAAATGACCACATGGGCGTACATATTGACAGCGGCGGGTCAGGGGCCGCCGGAGATCCAGGAATAAAAAGAACTAAGTTTGTGAGAAAAAAAACTCTGAAATTTTGAGATCAAGCTCAGAAAATTTCTAGAAAAAAAAAAAAAAAACTTTGACATTTCGGAGCTCCAGAAGTTTGACATTTGTGTGGAGACTTTTTTTTCTTTTTTAGACATATTTAGGTTATTTTCACATATTCTAGAAAAAAAAAAACGATGTCTCTGATTTAGCAAAGTCGAAATGTTTTTTCACAAGTCCAAAATGTTTGACCTTTCGAGCCCAGAAAACTCCCAAGTTTTTCCTCCAAAACAATGGATTCTTTTTTCCTCACAAATTTTTGACTTTTCAAGCGCCAAAATTTCCCTGTAACTTCTGAGTTTAATGTGAACGTTTCCTTTTTTTTTTCCTTCTGGCAAATCTTTTGGCTTTTTGAGCTCAGAAATTGTTTTACGCTTCTTCCTATAACATTTCTGAGATGAATCTAATAATGTGAGTTCTGTCTCGCAAATTTACTCTTTTTTCTCGTTTCTGTCTCTACGATGACCCTGAGAAGCCTCCGTAGATACCTTTAGGGATGAAAGGCGAACGTCAAAATACTGCAAATGCTTTGGCGTCGTCGACAAGTTGTTGGGCAACCAGCCGTGTTCTGCATAGAAACAGCATCACAACATCTGTAGGGATCCAACGTGTCGTCCTTCTACATCAGGTCGTTTCCCCTATAAACGTGTTGAAAGCATAATTTCCCAGCCTATGAATCTCCGTTCTTCTGTTCTGTGCAGTCTCCTCGTCATTCAGTAGTAGAAACACTTAGCGCGATCATTATTATGAATGTAATCTAATGTTTTCTCTTCTTTCTTCCGGCCTGATCGTGGGCAGGTAGTTGGGATGCGCTTGGCGGCGTTTGCGCCACACAGAGCCGGCGCTGGTAGCTTCACCACTGATGTTCTTGCGAGTCCTTTCTTTTATAATTCTGTGTGGAGTAAACGTACCGTTAGCTGTAAATGTTTTGTAAAAAAGAAAATCTGGTTGGTCTGGCGTACGGTGAGCTTGTTGAAATTGGTGTTTTTGTGTTGTTCTCTTTACGTCCTCAATAAAGACGACCATTGTAAGGAACAGCGGCCTCATCATTTGTCAACCCCGTTACAAATGTGGGCAGAACTCAGTTGATATTCTCCCGAGATGGAAGAAAAATCTATTTTGAAATTGTGTTTCCATTAGAAAAAAAAAGGAACTCAATTAAAGTCACGCATAAATACGTTTGTTTACGCACCACGATCCTCCCACTACTTCCTGTCTTCTTTGTCATTTCCATCAGCAGTAACATCCGGTTGTTGATCATGTGACTTGTGCGATGCGAAAGAAGTGTTTCCATTGCAGTTTAGCGAAATACGCTGCGCCGTGTTAAGGCTGCTGGCATTGATGCTACTGGGGGAAACGGTAAGGCACGTCTCACCCAAGCCTACCAAGACGTCTGCAACCGCCGAACGTTTCCAGGAAGAACGAGGAATGGGTCATTAGCCGAGGATTAGCTCGGCAAATCTGGCTTCACTTGAATTATCCAAGGAGTTTTCAGTTATCTCACCCAAGCAATGCCGTTGGTTTTGTTTGGGATCGTTTGGGGAGAATTCAGATCTTTAGAAGATCCATCCGTGACATGGATGGATCGCCGTATTCATTTGTTGTTGCTGGGACGTAGCTGAAGATTCGTTCCATGAAATGTGCTTCCTCCTCCACTCCTGTAATGTGCGATGTGTCCTGCAGCATGTCCTCTCTGTACAGTGTCTTGTTTTAGCCCAGTGTTTTCTCACTACCGTCAGATGCTAATTTGCAAACACATCGTGACAAGTGTGTTTACCCTCCCGCCCAGACAGCTGCCACTCACTCCGCTTTCACACGCACCGCTTTGGGGGACGAATCCAAATGCTTTCATGTTTACAGTTCACTACTCCTACATTACCCAGCTCTGTCCTGAAAGTATCTTGATTTTACACATTGGAAAATCAAATTTTTGGAAACACAAGCATTCATGCATTTTTTTGAGAGAGCACAAACTACGTTTACAATTTACATGTTTTCTACATGTAAATCTAAATTTACCCATTTTTTTTTTTACCGGCCATTTTAATTTGGTGCTGTTTTACCAATTTCCTGTGGAAGTCACAAGGGCTGATGATTAGTCAAATGAATCGTAATGATTTGGTTATTGAAATAATCATCAATAATCAGTTTATAGAAGGATTTTTAACAGCGTTCACCCAGGTTCCAGGCACCAAGTCCTGGTTAGAGCTCTGACATAAAGTCCACACCCGCTTCTTCTGGTTGGTTCTTCCCAAAATGTCTGGAGCTGATGTCACCGTTAGGGTTAGGTAATATTGTGGTAATAGTCCAAACAAATTGATGAAAAATGAACAGAAGTCAAAGTAAAGTCCTTGTGAAAATAAAAATGTGTGTGTTTCTCATCTTGACGATGCTAGTCATTAGCATCTCCTCTACGAAAGTCACCAATGCACATGGTAAACTGGATCAGACGGGTCATAATTAAGGTTGGCTCCATATTATCTTGCAGTTTTGAGCCGAAAGCTTTGACCGTATCGACGGCTCACAACAGAAGACGAATTTGCGTCATGGTGACAGACGAGAGTGGCTTATCTTTGTGATTTTCTCTCAGCGTCGCTCCGGGGTCTGCAAGGCCAACGTTCTGCAACAAACTCAATAACTGAGATAAGGTTTGTAATTCGCTTCTGCAAATTTCAAAGCTGACCTTCGTGAGAGCTCTTCTCACTCTCCGTTTGTCTCTCGCCTGGAAGGAAATCTCCATTGAGCAAGGCAGTTGGCATAGCACGGCATTCATCAAGTTTTCAGAATTTGACGTTTAATGTTTCATGGGATTTTTATGACGCACCAACACAAGGTAGTGGATAATTTGCTCTAGTTTCTTTAAACCAAACTGTTAAGAGTTGCCTTTGACAGTAACATTTTGATAGTTGACCAAATGTAATGTTTACTGCTTGTTTCGTGACTGAAATCATACACTGATTTCGTGTATGATTTTTTTTTTAGTATTATTATTTTGTGAAGCACTTTGAACTGCTAAATACAAATAAGCTTCACTTATTAGAGAACAAGCCAACGGCACAACGAAGGCTACAAAACACAGAGAGAAAGTTGTGGAGAAGTTAAAAGTAGGGTTAGGTTATCAAATCTGACCAGATGCACTCTTTAGTCTGAAAAATGTCTGTTTATTATTATTGTGTTATTGTTTTTGAATACGTAAAAAAACAATATATGAAGCATAAGAGCCTTATATGAACTCTAATATGTCATAATGTCACTATTTTTTATTAAATAATTATTAAACCTTTGTATCATCATATAAAAACCTATTGAGATCTACATGTATTTAATAGCAGAGAAACAAATAGACATTAGAAATATATAAAATGTGAAAAATTTAACAAATTGTAGTGACAATGATAACCTAAAGTACAGTGGCAATTTAATATTTCAAACACAAAAACCGGCGACATTTTACCTTACTTATTTATTTATTTTTCAGAAAGCTTTCTGACAGTTTTAGTTTGCCTTGCAGTTACCAAGCGTTCCCAGCAGAGGGGGCAATCGGCTAAAAGCTTTCATTCTATGTGCGTCGCCATGCCCAGGGTGAAACATGGTGGTGGCAGCATCATGCTGCAGGAGAGATTTTCCTCAGAGGAGACATGGAAGCCAGTTGGAGTTAAATACAAACCCAGAGAGAGAAAAGAAACAAAAACTGTCAGATGTTGGCAGAGAGCGATTGACCTTCCAGCAACAAACACAGCCAGAGCTGCGATGACTCGGATAAAAGCTTGTTTATGTGCTTTGAGCTGAAAGTGTGTGAAGTCTAGACTGGCAATTAATGTTCTTTCAAGGCGCTGCATGAAAATCACAGTCTGATTGACGTCAATATTTAATCCAGGAGTCACTTTATCATAATTTAACTGCTGTTTTATTTAACTGAGTGCTTTAATGAGACGCCACCACAGAGCTTTGACGTGATAAAGGAAGGATGGACGAGGCGTCCCAACAGAAATGACACGTCAGACGGTATTTGTTTGAGTTTAGAAGGCTCTCTTCCTACAACGGCACATTAGGATTAGATTGCAGATTGAAAAGAGAGGAGTAAAGTTCTGCCAAAAACAAAAAAAAAAATCTCGGAGATTTTCTAGAAATCTATATTTTGGAGTTTGAAAAGTCAAACGTTAGCTTAAAAGTACAAAGCTCAGAAATAATTTAGGATATTCTCAATTACTTCTAGAAAATCACAGATAATTTTTCGGATATTTTTGAGTTTTGGAGATCAACTTTTGTTTCCAATTTAAAAAAAAAAAACATTTATATATTTCTGAAATCAATCTGAAAGTTTCTGAGTTTTCTTTTTGGGTGAAAATTTACTTCTTTTTTTTTTCTATTTGCAATGGAAGTAATACACATTCGAAAAGAAAAGTCCGAGATCTGATGAGAAGGACTACAAATTTTAATTCACCACTTGAAACCAGTTAAGGACCAAATTGGGCTGAACTGGGGAAAACTGACCAGTCTCTCTCCGTTGCGGTTCACCCAAGATCCGACAGAAAGACGACAGGAATTGCCTGTCAGACGGTTTTTGGCCAAACCATCTGATTATCCGCCATCTTAAAAAAAATAATAATAATAAAAAAAATCAACAGGAGTGACAATAAAAAGGTCACGGTGTCTCTGTGCTGCATTGAGATTGACTGTCAGGAATGTTTTCACACCCTGTACAGTCGTGCTTCTATAAAGTCTCCACTAGATGGCGGTGTTTACCCACAAAATCCACTCAGACGTCAAGTGAAGCTTTCAAACGTCACTTCAAACTTCTCTGAGAAATTTTATATATATATATTGTTGGGCTTCAGTCTGTGCCTATAAGGGCCTACATATTTTCATTATCTATCTTACTGTAGGTCATGGAGGTCATTCTATAGGTCAGATTCATGTGTGGAAAAACACACGACCTCAAAGCTTCAAGTGAACAATCTGACATTCTCACTATTTTATTTATTTTTTTCCCACGATTGCTTCAATTTACTCTCCAACCACGATCCCACCAAACCCAATTGTCACCCCCTTACAGAGTAATAATAAATAAATAATAATAATAATTTTTAAAAAAAGGAAAAAAAAGACAGCCGTGACATTAACCACCCCGAGTGATGATTCAAAGGAGCTCAGATGGCCGCTGCAAGGTGGGAGGAATATTCATAGTTCTGGAGAAGACAACAGAGGGTCGGGAACAAGTGGGCTGTGGGAGGGAGAGGGGGCTCGAGGAGAGGAAAGGGAAGTCAAACCCACCCAGAGCTCTTCATACGTCACCGTTCACATCACAGATGTTCCCACAGACACTCAGCGTGGGCCGTGGGCCGAGGCGTGTGGAGAGCCAGCTCGGCTCGTATTGGCTTTTCCTGCGCGCATTGTGTTATGTAGGCCTGCTCTGTGCGTAAACCGAGATCTGGGTTGTTGTTGTTTTTTTTAAATCCTCCTTCTTCCACTTTTTTTTTCTTTTTGTAAATGTGCTGCAGTGATATTTAAAAGTTATGCCTTTCTTTTCAATGGTGCCCTTTGAAACTGCTGAACACAGAGAGAGAGAGAGATCAGCTCAGATGATGGAGATCCCCTTTATCTGTTAAAAAAACAACAACTTTGTTCTTCTTCTTTTTAACCCTAAAAAGGGGGGCAGAATAAGAAAACCCTGCGTGGGTGCGTGTTCTGTTTCCGCGTCCAATGGCAGAAAATAACAGGAGTTGTTATTGATGGAAATTGCTCTATATTTAGCACATTTAAATGCACGAAAAGGACTCCGAGTCTCCAAAACACCTTGAGGTGAGAGCGCGCAGCGACAAACCGCAGCCTTCCCTCACAGCGCGCTTTGAAGTGGTTTCTGAAGTCGTGGCAGCCCGGATCGGTTGGCTTGTTTATCTGAGCGTCACCCACTGGTGGTGCAGGACAGGAATCCCCCCTGAGCCTTTCCAGCCATCTGCGTGGCTTCTCTGGGTCAGTGGTCACGAACATAGCGGCTGACCTTTAACTTTTGACAGCCTACAGGTCGCATTTATCCGATGTTAATACTGAGGCTGAACTTAGGACTCAGCTTTTATTGTACCGATTATCGTATTTATCATTTATCGTGAAAAACATCTCATGATCGGAATATTCTGATTAATTGCTGAAAGCTGTCAGTAGAATCGAGAATGTTTCCTTGACCGTTTCTTCCATCAAAAATGAGGAGATTCGAAAATGTGGTTAAATGAAGCTATCACACTTTTTTTTTAAGTGGAATCTTGATGAAGCCTTTTTAAATGACAGAATATGTATTTGTTATTTGTTATAAGTGCTGCGCCGTACAGTTACAATAACACAGTAACTTAAAAAAAAAAAAAAACGAGTAACAAATTGTAAAACCACAATCTGACCAAGTATTTATTCATGTATTTTATCTAAATAGATTTTCCTCATGTTGCAAGTGAAACAATCTCCCAATATAATGGAATTATTGACTCAAACAAACCAGTTTGTTTCTGAAAAATTTGGTTTGATTTAATTTCAAACGTATGAATGTATTTGCACTGGAAAATATATCTAAATACTTGGTGAGATTTTGTGTGTTTTTTTGCAGTGTACAGCAGGTTCTGCTTCTTAACTTGCTTTTTCTGGTTCTGCGTTTGAGCCTATATCTTTAAAGCGTGCATACGTTGACGGTCAGACACAGCTGACCCGTTTTTGCCACTGACACAACTAGAATGTTTGGGGGGTCAAGGTGAGGCCTTCAAACCTATGAACACAGGTTTGTTTGTTAAACATGGCAGATCATTGATAGGAGCGGATCACTTCTAAATGCTTTAACTTCGCCTCCGATTCACCGAACGTGAGTAAAACTCGGGTACAAATGTGTCAACGAACATCAACTGATCATCAACGCGTCAAAACTTTCAACATTTCCAGGATGGCTTTGCGTGTAAAGCCACACTATTCTCAAAGGGGAGGTTAAATCATCTCTGCCGGTTTCCACCCAGAATCATACCAGGAAAAACAGTGACGGCTGCACAAAACTGGTTGTTTATGGACTTCTGGCAACTTGTGTAGCTTCTGTTTTTACAGTGTGTTTCCTCCTCGGGATCAGTTTCCTGTTCCTCCTGGATCATTGTCTGGTTGTAACACCTCACTCTTTGTACCTTCAGACAAGTTTGGGTGTAAGCCTGCATGAGCAATGAGGAAAAAAAATAAAATTGGATTCTGAGCTGAAAAATGAAATTTAACAACTTTCATCCTCTTGTGTACAACCGCGTCTCACTGTCGACTGTGTTCGTCCAAGACTTTGTGGTGACCCTGAATAAACTATTCCGTGTTAATCTTCCTTAATTTGAAGGGGCTTTTTACTGTTTCCTGTTCCTGTTTTGACCTTTTTGGTTTCGCACATATTTGGCCAGTGATGCGCCCCGCTGGAATTCAAACGCATGGCAGCGCAAATCCTCTCTCTCTCGCCTCGTGCACCGGACGCCCACTCTCGCCCACTCCCGTGCCAAAGCGCGTGCGGCGGCGTAGAGACGCCCCCGGCATTCCTGAGGCCCCTGTCACTTCCCCTGGAGTAACAAAAAAACACACAGAATTACACAGACACGTTAACTATGTCTTTAAATCTTCAGACTTTCGGTTGACCTTGTTGGGTTTTGGTTTGTCTGACATTTGAGATTAAACTCTTTTCACCGATGCACTACAAAGAAGGAATTTTTAAATATAAGTCATTATAATTCATAAAGACAGTGTCATACTTTAGTTCAATTCGACCATTGACCACTTTATTTTTTTTATAGGAATTTCTGCCGAAACATGTCATGGGAATTAAGCAGAAGAATTTGCCACAGGTAGCCACAGGGCGGATTTGTTTATATGGGCCGTATTACAAATGGGTGAATCAGCTGAGTCGGAGCCGTGCTGCAAGACTTGAGGTTGAGAAAGTTTTTTTGTGTTGGAGCAAGAATTCAAACTCTGATCCATCTTTTACCCGTTTCACAACAGCGCTGACGCTCGCGTCAAACTGAGGTGACGCGTCAAAACCCTGGGAACGTTTTGTCGCCAGAGCCAGAGTTTGACCTTGGATTCACATTTGACTGATTTAGCAACAGTGCTGATGCTAGCGTCAAACTGACGGGACACGCCAACCCTGACTGCAAATGCTAGGACGTGTTGCTCATTGCTAACAAAGGCAAACATGTTGTTTGCTAACAAACATGTTAGCATGTTGTTTCATTTTTAACCATTAGTGAAAGCTGTGAACTTACATTCCGACGCAAAAACCACCGGTCACTTATGGCACGTCTATAGTCCATCCACTGTCTTCCGCTCATCTGAGATCAGGTCTCATGGGGTCAGGGGTCAAAGGGAGGATATCCGGACGTCCTTCTCTCCCATAGACAAGGCCCAGAGAACGGTCTGCGACACTGATTCATAATATACAACAGAATATAAACGGATCAGCCTCACCGTTCTGAACTGTACGACGCAACGGCGACGAGCGACGTCGTCGCAACTGAGCCAACATCTCCAGTTAAACTCCAACTGAAATGCAGCAACGTCTAAATGCCTACTGACCATTGTTTGCAGCTTGATGTAAACTTAAATTATTTTAATGTCAAGCATTTAACACCCCTGAGGTCATAACTTCCCATTTCACTTTTGGTCTCTCAATTGGAACCTTCTCTCCCTTTCAGCATGATCCAGGCCACATGACCTACCATTGTGTCACTAATTCAGTTTAACACTTTTGAAAAGTTCTTCATCGTCCGGCTGTCAACCCTGTAAATTCACACCTGTTGCAATGTAACAAAATGTCATCAAATCCACACCCCCTCAAAAACAGATGCCACACTATTCTGAAAACAAACCCAACATAGATGGACTTTTCCTGCATAATATTTCTTTAATTTCGTTCTTATCAAATGTTTATTTATCTCTTTTTAAGAGCATTAGATCTTTTTTGTTGTTGTTTCTTCCCTAAATGTTATTTCTAAACTCTCCACGGTTTGTTTTAGATAAGCTGCACTTCGCCCGCGGCACTTCCCTGTAAACTGTTGCGCAACCGGGAGGAAACTCCGCTGCCCTGCTGGACTTCTTATCTGCTCGGTGCGAGACGGGACTCGGGGTGAAACCCGTCTGAGTTACCTGGGCGGGGATTCCCAGAAATCCTCCCTGGTGACGAAACAGACGCCAACGTGCCCATATTTGGGCATGCCCGTGCGTAATTCGGAAAGGCACGGTTACGTGCTGTGCGTAAAGAAAAAAAAAAAAAAAAAAAAAAAAACACGGAAACCAGAAGCCTGGTTGTATAAGCGCCCACTGGGAGGGATGGACGAATAACTGTTTGGGTTACAGTGCAATAGAAAACAAAAATCCCTCTCATTTTCCCATTGATTTAGTAATATGTAAAATAAATAAATAAATAAAAAAAGTAAAAGACCACTCAAGTCGTTTTGTTTCGTTTCAAAGGACAATTTACTTAAATACACGTCACAAATAATATTTAAAAAAAAGAAAGAGACAATGTAAACATTGGACAATAGTTTGCCCGGATCAACCGGGCAAACAAAAAAATAACTTATAAAGAAATAAATGCAGCATTGCGAAAAACAAAAACAAACAAAAAAAACAAGATACAAAGTAGTACAATAGTCATTCCCATTTTTCTACCATTAGTAAACCCAACTTAATGTGGACCAGCGCCCGCCGTGCTGCTCAGCCTGGTCGCTGCAGTGTTGAATGGTCCTATGAGCGGTGACCAGCATCCGACACTACCATTTCAGATCAGTCCGGATCAGAGCGCGCCGCGGTCGGCTGCGTGCGGCGGGCCGCGTCGCGCAGTCCAGCGCCGCGCGTCGCAGGACGTGCCTCCAGTGTTTATTACTTTTCAGTCATTTAGCAAGTCCGTGAGTATGAGTTCGTGGCTCTAAAACGCCTCGAGCTTGCTGGTGAGCATCAGCTGACAGCCGCTGCTCACGTGCGTCAGGACCTTCTGCTTGAGCTGGGCCACCTGGTCCCGCAGCACCGACGCCGTGTTGGACAGCCCGGCGTTGTCGCTCTTCAGGACCTTGACCTTCTCCTCCAGCCGGGCGATGCGCTCCAGCTTGCGCCGCCTGCACTTGGTGGCGGCGAGTCGGTTCCGCAGCCGCTTGCGTTCTGCCTTGATGCGCTCCTGGGTCTCCAGGTCGATGGGGGACATCGGCGGCGAGCCGTCGCTGCTGAGCAGGTCCGGCACGGTCTGGGGCTCCTCTTTGAGGGCCACCAGCCGCTGCGGGTGCATGCCGGAGCCGAGGTGCGCGTGCTGGAAGAGGTGTCCCGCGGGCGCCGAGGTGTGTGTGTGGCTCTGCTGCTGCTGCTGCTGCTGTTGCTGCTGCTGGTGAGGCGGCAGGTAGCTGATGGTGGCGGTGGGGTAGCTGGAGGCGGAAGAGAGCGTGCTGGCGTTCGGACAGTACGCGTTCAGCGTCGTGTAGATGGGCGCCTCGGGCTGCAGCGCGGAGCCGAATACGCTAGAGGCCGCCGCAGAACACGCCGCGACCCCGCCGGCTCCGATGGAGACGTTCGGAGGGGGCATCTGGTTCATCTTGTGGAGCTCGTCCAGCGCCTTCACGAAGCCCTCCGCGAAGCCCTCCTGCTCGTCGGTGATGCCCCGGTTGTAGAAGTACTGTCCCGGCGTGGGGCTGGTGATCACCCCGTTGCTGTTCTGGATGATGAGCCGCTCCAGCTCCGGAGAGGCGAGCTTCAGGGACCCGACGTCCGGCTGCCCGCCCTGGTACGGGTCCGCCTCGGCCCGCAGCTGGGACTTCAGGCTGCGGTAGGGCTCCGTCAGGTTCAAGTTCATGCTCTGCTTCAGCACCTTGTAGTCGTGCATGGCTGAGTCGGAGTGGCCGTAAGGCGACAGGAACGAGTCGTCGTGGTAAAAAGGCTGCTCCATCTTTGTTGACATAAAGTCGTTACAATGAAAAACGAAACAAAAATAAGAGGTGGAAGCTTTCCGGCTGCTTCTAGGGGGGGAGAAATAAATCAATCTCTGTAATAATGAGCAATAATCAGTTTCTCTCAAATGTCCCCAGAACTGTCCGAAAATGAAAACAGGATAAAAAAAAAAGAGAAAGCGAATGTCCAACAAATCTCTCAGTGTCAGCAGGTAAAAGTGTTCTTCTTCTGTTTCTCAATTTCTGCTGTGTACACAATCCTGTCAGGTTCTCCTCAGTCCTGTCTGTTCCTGTGGTGAAGGTGTGTTCGGTCCTGGTCGGAGCCGCTCCTTATATATATATGTATTCACACACACAGGCACGTGCTTCACGGAAGCGCTCCCATTGGCTGCTTCCTCCGTCGCCACGTCACTGCGTCGCCGGGTGACGCCAATGCCGGGAAGAGGCGCCTGTAAACAAGCCTGTAGGCAAGAAGAGCGGCGCACCGAGGAGGGCACGGCGACGGAGAAACAACAAGCGGACGCGGTCCCGTCCACACGCCGCCTCCCGCGTCCGGACGGCCCGCATAAAATGTCCGGCAGATAACCGAGGCTGCGAGGTTGTTAAATCACAATTTCTCTCCCTCGTCCTGCTCTTTCATTCATCTGTTTGCCGTCGCTCCACAGAGGAAGTCGCCGTTTCTTTCCATTCCCCGTCGGGGCATCATAAAACATGCTCCTCCGTTGTTCGTTTTTTGTTTGTTTGTTTGTCTGTTAGACGTAAAATATTCTGTAAATATCGAGACTGTTTGGCTGTTCGTCGCGAGCGCTCGCTATAGAGAGGAAGTCGGTGGAGCCTAATATGGGTATACCCTTATATGGGCATGCTGACGAGTTGTTCCTCCAGAAGGGCTCCCAACAAGCCACGCCCCCTTCAGGCGTCCTGCCAGCAGCATTCCTTCTCCTGTGTAAACTCAATCCGTGCTGGTGGGAAGCTGGGGACTTTTTTACTCCCCCGGAAAGGGGAGCAAATTGGCTTCGAGTCAGTAGATAGAGGAGACATAGTGTCTTGGAATGAGAGATGGAGATACTTTGAAACTTATTTAAACTTGAATGAAGCAGATTCTGAAGTTCTGCTCGAGTTCTACAGAGTATCTGTGGTTTGTCACTAGACACCTCCTGCTGGCGTCCTGGCAGGTCTGTGAGGTGCCGCCGAATCTGGGCACGCCGCTTTGATGAGGGGACAGGAAAGACAGGAAATTTCATCCGACTCGAGCCAAACGCCAGCAGTTATCTTAAAAACCCAAGATTCATGTTCATCTAATTTCCCCCCTTTGATCCCTAACGCCGGTCTCACAACAAAGCCCCGCTGTGCTGTTCTGTGGCGATAAAGGTCGGAGCTCGTCGGCACGCGGGGAAAGGAAACACGATTCCTCTCTTGTGCACCTGTCTGGGTTTTTTTTCTCTCTTCATCATCTTCTTCTTTCAAGAAGGGCACCTTTGTCTTTTGTTTGTACTTTTTCCGACGCCCACGCAGGCACGATCAAGTGCCTCCGCAGCAGTATCCCATAGGGCGGAACAGGCCGCGTCTACGAGACCGACCGACACCAAGCCGCGCGTGGTTGGGACGTGCTTGCGAATTCAAATCCGAAAATCTGTGTTGTGCATTTGCATTTAGCCTCCTTTTTATTCTGGTAACCCAACATAAAATCCAGCAAGATCAATTTCTTTCCAAGACTAATGGGAACAGAAGACGAGTCAGGGAGAAAGTTGACTGGAGGATAAAAGTGCGGTTAGGTTAGGTGGTTAAAATCTCTCTCGACAACTCCCCCTACCCTGGTAACTATGGAGGAGCTGCAGAAATCCACTGCTCAGGTGGAGGTATGTGCTCGGAGGTCGATTATTACTTGTGTGCTTCATAAATCTGGGCTTTATGGGAGTGTGGCAATAAGGAAGTCGTTATTAAAGGAAAGTCTTAAAAAGTCCAGACTCATACACCAAGATGTATGTCACTAAAAGAAGGTCATCTGGTCACAAAGAAATCAACATCAGAGGTGGGAAGATTGGTCCAAAGTTCGACACCAAGTTGGTAATAAGTATCGGGAAGATGCTGTTGTGGTAAGATTGATACTTTCGACTCCGATTCCATTTTAAAATTTTACTACTTCGAACAAAGATTTTGTTTCAATATAATAAGATACAACACTGTGTATTCCTATAAACATTATTCAAATTCTGTGTGAAGTTTCAACAAAATATTTCAAAGGGAACACTCAAAGGTCAGAGGTTTGGTGATTTATTAAACTTGAGCAAAGGCATTGGTGTATACTGTATTTACTTGGTATCGGATACCAAAATATATTATATTGCACATCTCCAGTGAAAATGTAATTTTGTGGCAGAAAAGTAAAATGGCATATCACTGTCGCCATGGTGAAGCACGGAGGTGGCTGAATCATGATGTGGGGAGGCTTCAGTGTTTTTAAAGGAAATGTGTGGAAGGTGATGCTCTGGTCAGATGAAACGCAAACAGAACTTTTCACCCATTACAGAAAACATCTTATAACTGAACATGTAACTTTATTATAGTACTATAACACGTGTTATAATGGCCTAGTCAAAGCCCACAAATAAATTTGTGGGCGGACTTGAACATTCAAATTCAAATTGGACAGAGTTCCCAGCCTTTGGTTCATATTAAATTCAAGGACCTTTCAAGGACTTCCATGGCCACGTTTACCTAATGCTACTGGCGAATATATTATTAATAAATAATTTTAGTACAATACAAATTTGACGAAGCCTCCTGTGGGTCATTTGGATCCCATCACTGTACGAAGTCCAGCAGGATCACAGTGACCCTGTGTGCGCTTTTACAAGGTTACATGATCCGTGTGGTTCTGGGAACTGACAGTTTGATGGAACGTTCTCAACCTCCATCCCTTCCTCACTTCCCCCACATCTGTCTCGTTTCTCCTGAATGCCGTAGAATTTGTTTTTATCTTTCAAAAATCTTGCAGGGAATTGAACATAGTTTTTCAAATTCCCAGATGGCCAAGGACCAGTGGGGATCCTGATTGGAGTAACATAGAAACCAGTTAGTATTTAATGATTTGACTTCAATCAGAAATGACTCCAAAACCAGATGTGATCAGAGTGGGGATTGTACCTTAAGTCAGCCACTTCTTCTTACTATTCTCTTGCTGGACATATCTTCTAACTCCCTTATCTCAGGGAATTCTCCGCCACTCAGACGAACTATTATGATTCCACGCTTTTTGTTATTTTTGTCGGTATCCAAGGGAATGCAGATAAACAGAGAAAAACAACAGTTCCTGGCAGTGTTGCGCCTCCTCTCTGCCGCCTCCCCTATAAAACCTCCATTCTGTGTGCAGCTGCCGCGGCGCTGATGCTCTGCGCGGTGCGGCTCCGGTCCAGTCCGGTCCGGTCCGGGGGTTTGCTCTGAGCTGCGGGTTGGAGGTTCGCCGCAGTCCCAGTGACATCTTGGCTCTGAACAGCAGCTCACGGTCCCGGCTGGGGGGAGTGTGTTTACGGGAACACTCGTGAGGTGGCACCGCGCCAACCCCGGCCCAACGCTAATGGAAAACAAAGATAGGGCACAGGGGGCCGACTTGATGAATATGTGGTATTGTGTTTTCCCCTGGAATCATCTCTATTAATCAGCCTTTTTGTTTTTTAAATGAGGAATACAATGGAGTTAGGGTAGATGTGTGACGTACGAGTTCAACACACCACTTATCAAGTTATACTATGTGCATAAAAAAAAAAAACATTCAGAACTGTCCGCCGCCTTAGTCACATCTTGGTTAGTCATGTCTCTGTTTAGTCTGTTTAGATTTAGTTCTCTCCAGTTCAGAAATTCCTTTGTCTGACTTCTGCTTCTTTTTTTTTTTTTAAGAGGAGATATAAAACCTGCTGCAGGACATAGTCCTGCCTTTTAAATGTTTTTTTGTTTGTTTGTTTGTTTGTTTTTTTGGGGGGTAGTCTTTGGAGGGTTTCAGGATGGAAGGAGCTGCTTGCAGAGTTTGAACAGTCAGGATCAGATGGATCGGTGCCAAAAACCAAAAGGTGTTACCTGTTTTGGTTCCCTGGGTGAGATTGTGAAAGGCAAAGCCTCAGGCTGGAAGGAAGCTGTTTACCGTAAGATTAGGAAACGTCTGTGTGTGTGCGTGTGTGTGTGTGTGTGTGTGTGTGTGTGTGCGCGCACAAGTGCATATGTAACCGAGGGTGGAGTATATTCATGGATCTTTTTTTTTTTTTAACCACAGATTGAACATCTGCATGAAGGGAGAAGATAAGAAAGATAAACTACTGCTGTCTATTTTCTCCTACACGTTTTTCTTTATCTAATGCATGTACCGTCCCTGAAACTTTTTACATTTTACTTTAAATATTTGTGTGTCTTACCAGGATTTTAGGGGAATCATTTGCATAACTGCAAAGTGGAGAAAAATGATACACACGCGCGGTTTTCAAGTACTTTTAAAAACAAGAAAATTGACAAATGAGGAGTGAATATACGTTCATCTCTTTCACAACAACGCCTCTAAAACAGGGTGCCCACAACCTTTTTGCCATGAAGATCAAAAGTATGAAATTGAAAGAGACAATTATAAGACAGCCTTACACTTTTTTTTTCTCTCTCTTTTTTTTGTAGTTGCTTGTTTAGAGCAGCCTGATCGTGACAAAAAATCGGATGTTGACCTGTTGGTATAAAAATCTGCTTCGGGCCCTGAAAAGGTTTGGGCCGGCCCTGCTGGAGGGACTCCAGGATCACAGCAGGTGACATTTATTATAAGTGTGTGGGGGGAAAAAAACAAAGAACTGTACAGATGATATATGCTTATGATTTTTATCACTCTAAAAATGAACCTACAGAATGTTCTGGTTGCAATCCCCTGCCTGTGTTTCCTCCGTTTTAACCATTTGGTTTTCACAGTGAGCTGCTGAGAGCTGCTCTCTCCTCACCTCCTCCTCCTCCAAGCCATCTCATTGTTCCCCTCCACCTCTGCTCAGCTCTCTTTTTGCCAGAGCAGGGGGCTTACGGCCTACTTGTCGTCTGCCTTTCCACAACTAACTGCCCTTTTCTGCTTGCTGCGACGGCTCCATCTGTGACTCAGAGCAGCTTGGAAACCGTAGGGTGTGTGTGCGTGTGTGTGTGGCGAATCAGAGGTCAAAGCCTAAAGCCTCGCAGTCTTTTCCCCCTGACCTTCACAACTCCATCTTACGCCCACTCAGCAGAACCGGTTGGGGTGAGAGGGGGGGCAGGAGCTGGTGGGCGCACGCGGCCGCCTCCATCAGATGCGGTTTGTTTGCGACGTGCCCTCCTGA